CAGTATGCGGTAATCGCTGGAGTTGAGGAGGAAGTTGAAGAAGTGCGCTGTGCCCGTCGCCTTCAGCTCTGCAGGGGCAAAGAGGCATGCATCAGCACCCTGGGGACCCCCGCCTTCCCCAGTGCTACCACTGCCCCTGCGTCCAAGCCTGGTCCCAGCTGGAGGACCTCCTGTGAGATGAGGTGGGCACCTTCCAGGCCACGGCACCCACCTTCCAGGTTATAGTGCCCACCTTCCAGCCCCATGGTGCCTACCTCCCCCTTCGTGACCGACGCGATGCTGCCACATCTACCTGGGACATGGGACAATGACAGAGAGGCTCATGGCTGGTTAGAGCAACCAAGGGTGGCCAGAGGAGGGGGCAGAAGGACCTGGGCTCAGGAGACCCAGCACCCCACTGAGATGGGGGAGGAAAGGGGTGGCTCCCTGGCACCCCATGCAAGAGCCCGCAACTCCCCAAACCTCTGGCATCACCCCTCTCCTGCCTCAGTCCCGTGCCCCCGCTTCCCAGCCAGGCCACTGGCTCCTTGGGTGGAGGAGCTGGGACCCCAAGAAGCCAGCTCCCAGCAAGGGGACTCCCCCACCCCGCGCACCCCATCCCCCCCTTGGGAAGTTATTTTTAGCTCGAGTGTGGGAGCAACGAGTGAAAGAGGATAATGAGGGTCATGAATATTCACAAGTGCAATGAGGCAGCCAGATGGAAGGCAGAAGTGCTGCAGATGATGTGGGCCGGTGCCAAGGACCACGCGGCAGAGGCCAAGGCATGAGCGACACAGAGGATCCGACCCCCATGGGACACCATCCGCCCTGGACGCCACCTCCTTTGGAGGTGCCAGCCCTTTGGAGGTGTCACCTCCTTTGGATGCCACCAACAGCTATCAGATGCCACCCCCACAGACCGTCATCTTCCCTAGTTGCCACCCCCTTTGCAGATGTCACCCCCTTTGGATAACACCCCCAGCCATCAGATACCTCCTCCACTGGATGACATCTGCCCCAGATGCCACCCCCTTTGGAAATGCCACTCCCTTTGGAGGTACCACTCTCTCTGGAGGTGCCATTCCCTTTGGATGCCACCAAAAGCCATCAGATGCCACCTCCATGGGACACAATCTGCCCTGCATACCACCCCTTTTGGAGGTGTCTCCCCCTCTGGATGCCACCCGCAGCCATTGGATGCCGCTTCCATGGGATGCCATCTGCCCCAAATGCCACCCCCTTTGCAAGTGCCACCCCTTTGGAGGTGCCACCTCCTTTGGATGCCATCAGACTCCACCTCCATGGGATGCCATCTGCCCTGCATACCGCTGCCTTTGGAAGCATCACCCTCTTTGGATGCCACCCCCATGGGACGCTGGCCCCACGAGCCCCCCGGGGACCTCCCGTCTTCTCAGGCGGGACCAGAGGACGGTCCCGCAGGTCGGTAGCGGGAAGGAGCACGTCAGCTTCCAGGCAGTGGTTCACACTCTCTTCCCTCAGTGGCCACGATAGAGTAAAAATCACCAAAATACTTGCCTGTTCCCAATGAGGAGAGATGCTTCAGGAGGTTGCTGGTCATCTCCAGCCGCCCTGAGACACAAATGTTTTGGAGGACAAAATCAAAACAAGTCCTCAGTTTACCTCCTTCCCTGTTGCTTTTCAATCTACGTGGTCCCTCAGGAAAGCACTTACAGACCAGTGGCTGTCTCCAGCCCTGTGACAGGAGACAGATCAGGACTGCCAAAGACTGCCACCCATCACAGTTCTTCATAGACCAAGCCTTCGAGATCTACATGGCTATAGGAGCATCAACCATTCCCACA